CCCCAAAACCCCAAAACCCCAAAACCCCAAAACCCCAAAACCCCAAAACCCCGAGTCATGTCTAACAAGTTGAACAGTAATTTAATAATTGTTAATGGAGTTCAGAGAAATCGGAGTGACTACTATCCTTCAACTATGAGGAATGATAAGTCCATATAGTAATAAAAATGCCCCTTGAATTAAAGATCAGAACCTTTCGAAGAAGTGCATAGTTTAAATAGACTAATAGTAAAGCTTCTCTGATCTCTCCGGTGCCGATCTTATAGCTGATCAGTCATCGGGAAAGTTTAACTTTTTGCTAAAGAAGTGTGAAATCAAATCAGTTCTGGCCAGAAATTAGTCCTTATAGTTTATAATATAGAAGCATTGGAAAAATAGTATGGAATCAAGTTATTTTCCTCTGAAAAGACCTTTGAGCTCCTGTTGGAAGTTTGATTTATTTCCAGGCATCCTCCACTGGAAATGAACCATTTATACTGTTTCAAGAAGCAGCACATAACCTAGGTCACTTCAAGATCGAAAATAAGATAATAATTATTAAATTGATTCAGATAAAGGAAATTTATTTCTGTGCCATCCTAATACGCACCTTTCCCAATTATCTATAAGATCTGATGAGTAGTCCCTTGCTACTAAGCCCAAGAAATGTTGCTTTGTACTGGCTCATCCCAGCTGGTTTTCATGTAAAATTTTCGTAAAGTGCCAATTTAGAACATTATAAATTTGACAGGGTTTTTAAAATGAATATTTTCTAAAAACATGAAAATTTATTAGGTATTTATATGCTTAAAATATTCATACTCAAATTATAATAATGTACTTTTCTGATGATATGGTCGACCAGTGTCAAAGAGCTAATGAATCTGGGATGGTAAATAAAGTCAGGTGAGAGCCACTTCAAAGGTTTAGTGCTTTCTCTGGTCAAACTTAGTTCTAATATCCATACTAGTGATCCCTATGGTCTTCTGATAGAAAGGGAGGAAGTCAAAGAAAATCCTCTTGATAATCAAAATGTTGTTGAAGAAGAGGCAATAAATCAATCAGTGCCTTATACAGATACCCACTTTCCGCTGTATTTAGATTTTGAGAATGATAAGATTTGTATTAAGGTGATTTCTGATAATATTGAGAAAAATAATATTCTCTTGTTTAAAACAGTGAGAATTTATAGTAATGATAGTGAAAAAGAACAGCAATTGAGAGAATATTGCCAAAAAGTTATGAGAGATAACTTCAATATACAGATAACTTTTGATAAAAATTGTCTAAAAACAGGAAGACTTCCAATAAAGGTTGTAATGATATTTCAAGCCTTTAATAGATCCTTGACTCCTCAAGAACGTAACACAGATATTCATGATTTAGCCCAAAAAGTGCTTTTGAAAGTCATCAAAAAGGCTAAAGCAAGTATTACTAAAGTAATAAGATCACTTGAATTATTTCAGACAAGTGAGGAAATTTACTTCCTTGATTGCTCATAATCTTGTGCTCTTCTCTGCTTCACCTTATTAATTCATTTTACTCACAATAGCTGTATAATTGCATGGGGTTTTGGGGTTTTGGGGTTTTGGGGTTTTGGGG